CCCCCCCCCGGTTCGGTTCCTCCCGCGCCCGCTCCGCTCGGCTCCAATGGCGGCGCTCCCGGCGGTGGCGGCGGCCAATGGGGGCGCGGCGGAGGGGAGCGGCCGGGCCACGTGCGGCCATCGCAGCGCCGGGGCCTTTCCGGGCGGGGCCGCGCGGTACCGAGGGTTGAAAATACGGCGATATCCGCCCATCCCGGAGCCGTGCGGCGAAGGGAGTGACGTGCGGCCGTCCCGGTCATCCGGTGCTGCCGTTGCGTGGAGCTCCCGTTGTACTGGGGAGGGGATCTGCGATCCTATAGAGCGGGATTGCTTTGGGCTGGGCTGCGCCGGGGGTCCCGGCTTTGGGGGACGTGGGGGGCGTTGGGGTCGCAGCCGGAGCTCTGGGGCTGCCGTTTTTGCCCCCCTTCCCCGTGTTTTCCTGCGGGAATTGACCTTAAAGCTCTGTTAAAACACTCCAGAGGGGAAATGGAAAAGCTTTTGTGGAGCTGTAGGGTTTGAGGGCTGTTCCCTTAAAGGCAGCAGCAGCAACGTGTTCATTTCACTTCTGTTCCTCACCTTTAAGCCAGGGTCATCATATGAGACATCTCCGCGCCCCCCCCTCTCCCCCCACTGGGGGGCAGCCCTCCATAGGGGCTGTGCTCAGAGCTGGGACCCCTCAGATCCACCCCACTCCTCTCCCCACCCCACAGCACTCCATCCTTCCTTGGGGAAGCATTCCCAAACCTCTCCTTTTGGAAGGCAGCAGGACAAAACCTCACAGAGCGCTGCGAAACATCGCATCTCCTCCTCCTGGAAACAAAGCTGACCCCCAAAAGCAGCAATTCCCGCTGCCCCTGGCTCTGTGTGCCCCTCGCATCCCATTGTAGGGAGCTGAGGGCTGTGCTGTGTGCAGCTGCATGGTGTTTATGTTTGGGGAAGCCAAGGCTTCTGGCTGTTGTGCAGCTGTGCTGCCTAGGAAGGTTTCCTCGGGGGGCAGAACGCATCCTGCAGCCGGATCAGCGCTCAGGTTTTGCTGCTGGGGGTTCTGCAGCATCAACCTGCTGTGTGTTTATGGGGTTTTGGTGCCACGGGAGCCAGGTGATGCGGGTGCAGCAGCCCTCGCTTTGCCCACCTCCATCCCGCGGGGAGGAGCGGAGCATCCATCGCTGCGCTGGGGTTTGGCCTTTGCCTCCAAGCAAGGAGACAAAATAACGCTGCTCCCCAGCGCTGGAGCCCTGCAGGTCGTTCAGGCGATGCTCGGCACAGGGTTGAGCGAAGGAAGGCCGACGAAGCGCCGCCGTTCTGCGGGGGTCCGGTGGGGGCCGGGGGTCTCAGCGCCTTCCTCTCCTCCTCCCGCAG